TAGATCCTTGACTCTAAAATTCTGAACACAATTAAGACTTTGGAAGATCAAGCCTTTCCTTGGGCGTCGTCAGGCAGAATGAAAGGTACCTGTGGCATCTAGGAATACTGGGACACGTGCAAGGTGATACCAAGCAATTGCAGCTCAGGCTGTAGAGATCTGCTCTTGTATGGGCTTTAAGTTTCAAACATTAAAGCAACTGGGCTTGGACCAACCAGACAGAAGAGGGTGGAAGCGAAATAAATTCTGGAGTGACGAAATTACTTTGGACAACTTAATGAAAAAAAATGCTCAGATCCCACTGAGCCATTAAATGATTGATTTCCACATGGAAGCACCCATCTCCTCTGACAAGCCTTTGACAAAACTGTTTCTTATTTTCACGTGGAATGGTTCTTGACCAAAAGATTAAAAAGACTGAGGGGAGAAAGGGACAGAACAGGTTATGAGCCCAATAGATAGGAGAAAACATGTTAAAAAAGAAGACTGAAGTGCTTGTGCATTCATTAAACACAAAGGTAGCACTTGCAAATGTTTGGATTGCTTAATACTCAGGCTAAGTTGATGGTAAATGATTTGCAGAAGGAGCACAAATACTTTTCAATCTTCCAATGCATAATTTAACTTTTCTTTTGACAGTTGTCTTTAAGTCCTGATATGTCAGGAAGCTTAATAGCAAAACATCAAAACTAATTTCCCTGAGATCACCAAGCAGCTACCTTTCGCTAATTTGGAGCTCTGAGGTTCTGTTAGAACTTGAAATCACAACGGTCAGCATCAGATTGCAAGGGGCATCCCAAAGGGCTCTGAATTAAGCCGTTGACTCAGCCAGGATACCAAAGTGATTGTGGCTGAACGTGTAGGAGTCCTGCAAACCGTGGCATCCCTGGTAACTAGTGTAACAGTGAACTTCTGCTGTGTGCAAAAGCTGAATTTAAAATGTTACTGTTCTAAATGCCATGCCACCCTAAGTGTTTTTCAGAGCTACGTCTCCCCAGATACAGCCTTTTCTAAAATATTGAAAGAACGTGCTAATATCCTGCCATGGTTTAACCCCAGCCAGCAGCTCAGCCCCACCCAGCCACTCGCTGACTCCCCTCCCAGTGGGATGGCGGGGAGAATTGGAAAAGTGAGAACACTCGTGGGCTGAGATAAAGACAATTTAACAGGTAAAGCAAAAGCCACGTACGCAAGCAAAGCAAAACAAGGAATTCACTCCTCACTGCCCATGGGCAGGCAGGTGTTCAGCCATTCCCCAGGAAAGCAGGGCTCCATCACACGTAATGGTGACTTGGGAAGACAAATGCCATCACTCTGAACGCTCCCCCTTCCCCCTCCCCCCAGCTTTATCTGCTGAGCATGACATCATATGGTGTGGGATATCCCTTGGGGTCAGCTGTCCTGGCTGTGTCCCCTCCCAACTCCTTGTGCACCCCCAGCTACTTACTGGTGGGGTGAGCAGCAGCAAAGGCCTTGGCTTTGTGTAAGCACTGCTCAGCAGTAACGAAAGCATTCCTGTGTTCTCAACGCTGTTTTCAGCACAAGTCCAAAACACAACCCCTTACCAGCTACCAGGATGAAAATTTACTCTATCCCAGCCAAAACCAGCACACATCCTTACAGCCACAGTCACACTCCGGTTCCTTCCTCTGCTGCTTTTTTGTTTCATTCAGGACTTCTGAAGTCTGAAATACTCTAAATGTTTCTAAAATGAGCTGTAATGAGTCCAAAGAGAAAAGTTTGATTTTTGCTTTCTTTAAATCCTTAGAGATAGATATCTAAATCCTTTCCCCAATTCTATCAGACTATATTATTTCCCTCCAGACACATCGTATAGGCCACCCCCTAAGGCACGCTGACGATTGCTAAGCTAAGCTAAGCTAGTTCGGATCAGCGCAATCTCTTTTCCAAGGGCCAGTGTTCAGAGCCAGCTGTTGATTGCGCTATTGGCAAAGGACAAGAGGCTGACAAATTTTGTGTTCGCTCTAGGAAGTGAAGATCTCCTTGCTTCCAGCCGAGAGGCTTTGTAAGGGGTGGGACCAGTTGCCTGCTAATGCTCTCCGCGGCAGGGCAGAAGCAGAGGAGGGAAGTGCAGCATTGGCTGGGGAGAACAGCAGAGCCAAGACTGCGGAGGTGGGAGCTGGTAAATCCTTGCGGGGTTAATCCAGCAGTAACTTTTTGCCAGGGAGCAGACAAAAAAAATGGGAAGACTTAGTATCCATGTTCTCAAGGCATACACTGTTTAAGTCTGTAATGAGGATGTAGAAACTAACTCTAAAAATTGGAATATGTCTGCTTCAGGGCTAATTAAAATGAAATCCTAATTCAGGAAGCTCTCATTCCACACACCATAGGCTCTAGCTGGGTTTTGCCACACACTACCAAATTGTCTCCACTTCTGAAGTAATCGTGCCAAGAAAGGAAACAGCATAGTAGTACCCATTGTACAGGTCCACTGCTTGCTTTCAGTTCCTGTGGATTCAACGGCAGAATTAATTGCAAAATAAAATGCATGTAATTGGATTAATTAACAGTACATTTCAAGGTCCTGAAATACAGAATTAGCTGCGGGGTAAATGCAAAATGCAGGTTTTTCCTGCGAACAGAACAAGTGCTATTTTTGGAGCTGTATCTCATAGAGGTGTGCCTTGCTTAAAATGCTGCTAGGATAAGAAATGGGGCTTTGAAGGGGGAAGATAAATACTATAATCAGGGCTGCAGGACAACAAAAGGAGTCTTAAATATATAAGCGTTTGAGTGAAGTTGCTTGAAAGATAATTATACCTAAAATTGCTTGCATGGGTCTAATATTTTCTTTACAAGGACTTACAAGACTCCTTGAATATTTATAGGCCTGGAACATAAGACTGGATGAAATTTAAAACATAAATTCAATAGCAATTTATTATGATGAAATTCCCTAGCAGTTGTTGCCCCAACCTTTTAGCCTTAATAGACAGGCTTCATGTTGCAGAACACAAGCCCATGTGATAAACGATATCAAAGCTGAATGCCCTTGATTGATGAACGCTGCCTTGTTTGATGACTGTAAAACAGTCCTGAGGGTTGAACTCACCACTATTTTGGTTGGTTTCCTTTTTTTTTGGTCTTAATGCATATATTGCAGAAAGGTTGTTTGTGCTTCTGGTATGGTTATCACATGCAAATGAGCATGCTGTTTCCCAGATGCAGATTTCATATTTATAGATTAAATACAGCCTGAAAAATCGTATGTTAATTACACTCTGAGAGTGTAGCAGAATTTCTCACTTGAACATGTTTTGTTTTGCTGGAAATAGCACAAATTCCAGATCAATGTATTTAGTTGCTTGAAGCTCGGTAATAAATATATCATACTTTAGAAAAAGCTTTCTAATGATTACTAATAATTTACCATTAGCTCAATGCTTAGACTTCCATCCCACATCATGTATTTGTTTTTAACAAGCCGTATTTCTCAGAAGACAACCAATACTATAGGAAGGGGGGGGTGGAGGAATGGCTAAGGAGCAAAGCCAAACCAGCAGATTATCAGAGATATACACTGGCAGAGAAGATCTGTGAGAAGATGTTTTGAGAGGAACAGGACTCCCTGCAGCTGGCTCAGTTAGCTATAAATGATCTTTTTTTTTTTTTTTCCTCCCTATTGCCTATAAAGATCCCATATCACATATGTCATGCTGAAAATCCAAGTTGTAGGGGTTCCTCCTTTAGTATATAGTTTGCTGTGGCCACAAGAGACACTGCAACCCCCCGGGACGCCTCACTGCACACTGGTAACAGAGATGTCTAAAGAAATAAGGCTCCTCCTTAGAAACTGTTCAGCGGTAGATGTTGGCAGGTGGCTTTTAAACTGAGAACTGGTGCAGATGTACTCACATCCCAGCATGTCGAAGGACACTCCAGAAATATTTAGGAAAAATGTGCTCCAAAGGGAGTGTAGTGATTCTTGGATTTCAAATCAGGCCAGTTTTGCCCTTGAGAATTGTGTTATTGAAGGCAATGCTGAGCAGACCCCCATTACAATAAAAGGGGGGAAAATTTTGAAGTCAATATACAACATACAAATTACTTTCTTGTTTACTGTCCCAACAGCTGCAAAACATCAAAAATAGAGAGGAAAGCTTAAAATACACAGTGAACTTCATTATTACAAAGAAAAGTCTGACACAACAGCCATTCAAATCAATACAAAACATCTCACTGGTTCTCACTGGGGGCAGGATCAAGCCTATACAAAGCAAAAAGAGTTTCCTAATAACAAGTAGTTAAAAATTTGACCCTCTTTTTTTCTATAAATGTAAGTCCTCTGATGACCAATCATAGATTCAAAGATATGTCCATAATCATTTGGCTGGCAGCAATGATTAGTATGGACTTCAAGCACAGATAAGTCTGACTTTAAAATAGCCTGCTGCAGTATATTACAATATATCCTGAGAGCCACAAACGAGAACAAACAGTACCAAAATACATAGTAAATTGAAAATACCTCCCCCCCCGCCCTTCATCCCTTTTTATAGCTCTCATAAATCTTTTAGTAAACAAGTAAATCACAGAGGTACCAAAGAAACTGGCAAACTAAGAGGTAGTTTACGTAACGTAGCATCTCTGTCTGCAAGCACCATGCTGTTCTGGAATCTGAAGCCATGTATGGCTGTCAGGTGCTGTGCCAACCTTCCTGCTCTAGTCCCAGGACCCAAGAGAAAATGCAGACATAGGACATTTTGGCCATATCAGCTCCTCTGAAAGCAACTCAGGTACTTAGCTGGCAGTACAAAACATGCCCTATACTCCTCATTTTTTTCCCCAAGCATCAGCACTCCATTTGCTTTTTGCCCGCCTGATCATTTAGCAGTCAATAGATACGTTGATCTTTCAGTCTTAAGAAAGCTTTCATCTTAATAAGTTTACACTCTGTTTATGTAACTAATCTTATGCATGTCACATGTACCTGAATACATTCAGACTGGTGTAAATGGAAAGAAAACGACTACTGCAGTTTGGTTAGGATGCAACATGATCAGAACATCTGATGTAAGCTCTATGTGGTGGAGTGCTCCGCTGTGTACAAGAAATCATCCTCCCTTTGAGGTCTTACAACAACAAAAGTTTTACGTCTGCTCAAGGAGTTTATTTCTCCTATGTGATCTTACAAAATGATACTGATCTGTGATGAACTGGTACACTAGAGACAGTGTACTGAATTAGATAAATTTGATAGTTTGAAGTAGCAGGCAACTCCTGTGATGTTGGTATGTTTGAATAGAATAATAATGCATGTCTTACTATCTCTTCTGAAAAGAAACCAAGAGAAACCCAAATCTAATTACATATCCATCATTAAAGTCCTCCACACAGACTGCTGGGTATCAACTGTAGTCTTGCAATTCACTGGAGCCTTAGGACAAGATTCTGATAGGCTGCTCTTTCACCTTCCCATGAATGATGTTTCTTCACATAGTCTTTGGCCCTTGTTACAATTTCTCTTTCCATAATGGGGTCATTCATCAAACTCTGGGACAACACAACAAACTCCTAAAGAAGATAAAGAAAATAATAAATTAAAAAAGTTCCTTGAAGTTCTAATGATACCGAAATAGCTTGTACCCGTATCTCGATTTTGGTAAAGCACTTCAACTCTAAGCCAGTATATGAAACTGTTCAAAGTCATTTTTCAAGGTCAAGTACCATAGTTTATTTATAAATGATGATCAATAAAAAATTCTTTAATATATTCTTTTACGCAACCCACCAACTAAGACATTTAAAATCAAAGACAATCCCAAGAGTGTTAAGACAAACATGAACAACAAATTTAAGGACACAAAAATTGTTTGCCTACTCAAGTGTTAGAAAATCAGGCGGTTATAAATTAAATAATTCACCTGATCTCCTGCATGGAGGACAATTAGCATCAGATGTTTGATCTCAGCTCAGCTAACCTTATATATCATTGCTACTGTGACATGTTCAGTTAATTTTATGGTAAGACTAAAAAACTCACTACATAAATACAGTCACAGTATAAAGGTAAGAGCAGGCATGCAGCAACAAGCTCTTCCAGAGTAGTTGCATCTGGGCAGTTACAGATACAGCAGTGTTAGCTCAAGCAGCTCTGCAAAAAAGCCATAAATGAATTTCCTTTAACTTTACTGGGCAAAATACTAGACCTCACAGATTACAACTATTCCTTTGCCTGCTCCTCTACCACTCTAGTTTAGTTCTACGGAAGAGAAATTGTGAACTTCAAACACGTGAAAGGCGATTTGATGTCTGAACTAATCTATTCTGAGCAGCTGGTCTAATTTTCTATCAAGAGACAACTTCCAGAACTTCAGTTGATTACAAATGTGCTCAGATCTTTGCAAAATAGTGTCTTGGTTCAGCTCAGAAAAGCATATAGCTATTGTGTCAATGGAAACTTAGAATAATGCATTATTACACAATTGGTAGTGAAGATCAGTGCATAGGCTGTGAGGGACAAAAAGGATGGGAGGAGATATATTATTCACACAATGTGTTCAGCTATGAAAGGAAATATCATAAATAAGACCAGAGTTCATATCAACACTAGATTAGCAAACTATACTTGAAAACCTAACGACACGGTGTATAGAAATACATACACAGATACAAAATCTTTGGTTACCACAGAATCAATGCTGCTGTTCCAATGCAAGCAATGGCTATGCATAATACATAACTATAACATGACCCCTGGGAAACACTGATATGTGATATCACATCGAACATGTTATAATCGCTGCTTTGACTTTCACTGACAAGACAAACCATCAATATATGCATCACTGCCATGAAATTTAAATAGTCCGAGATGCACATCAGTTCTGTTGGAAAGGTTTGTAACTAGGTAATAGAATAAGATGACTTTCATACATGCATATTAACAATAACCTCTTATTTTACATAAAATCAGTACTGCTTGTAATCTTTGCTCTGTCCACACAGCACTGAAAGAGCGGTCTCTGGAACAGCTGTGAGGGCCATATGCTTTGTATCCAGCCTGCTTTCCATCCACAACTACCCTCCATTCAGGCACGAGCTAATTTAACCGGTGTATTCAGTTCCTTACTTGGAACCCCTGTGGGTCTGAAGAGGGTGTTTTCTGGGTTGTTTTTGAGACTGTCCCTAAAGAAGATAAGTGAGGCTGGGCTAGAGAGTCCCCCAAGGCTGTGTCTATCAGACACTGCAGATACAGCCAGTGACTCCAACTTTAGAGACACGTTTTTTTCCTTCCTCCATATCTGCCAAGAATACAGAAGAGGGAAGGTGGGAAAGTCTTACATGACTTATGCTGGCTTCATCCAATTGCCTGTATAATCACAGTAATAAATACTGTTCACACTGAACTACATTCCAACTTTAATTTTATGCTCCTGTGGAGGATTTTATTTAAAGTCATGTTTAAAAATAATTTATGTAAATTACCTAAGAACAGAAGCAGCAATGTAACATTTCTTGACAGGTAGTCCTATTAGCATTCTTTTAAAATGTTGATATAGAGGACAAAAACTTGGAAACATGTAAATGATAGAAGAAATGAGATCCTTATTCACAGTTACAATACTTAATGCTGGGGATAATTTCAGGAAAATGCCAAACTGAGTCCAAAGCATAAAAGTTGAGAAACTGCAGGAGAGAGAACAAGCAAATGGAAAAATACAAGGAGACGGAGAATAAGGAGTTCTCAGCTTTATCCCTACTTCTCCTACTAATCAAATGTGACCACCTACAAGTCACTTGCAATCTGACTGGAAGCCAATAGGAAGATTCACTATGACTTATCTAGGTTTTCCCTCATACCCTTCGAGCAGCTGGCTTAGCTTGTTTTCAGTTTGGGATGCTCAGCTTTAGATAGCAATAACTTCATTTTTCAGGTGCTTCCCTTAACTACAACTGACTTGCATTTCAGTTGTAGGTTTGTGGTAAGTCTGAAGCATGGGCTCCTACTTGCAGAATGCAGACATTCAAAACTCAGAGCTCTTTCAGAAAAAAGTGCATTTAATTTTTCTTTTCTAGAAGCCTACAATATACAAACTACTTACAGTGTGGCAACGTCTCTTTATCAGCTGTTATGCTGTAAGTATTTGTGCAAGTGATGTTTGCGCAAATATTTATGCACTCTCATATTTTGTTGTAGATGTGAAGTAAGCTTCACTTTTGGTGAAAGAGGGGCAAAATTCACAAATTACTTTTCAATTATCAAACATAAGTGTATGCACTTCAGCAGCCAAAATGAAGGATGTGATATGCATGCTAACTTACTACTTGGGGGACATCCATATTTCTAATAAGCCTTTTATTCACGTACAGAAATGGGTATAATTACTATGCACGTGACAGAAAAACACAGTGTAAAAGTTGACCCTCAGCAGTTAGCCACGACCCAGAAAAAACAGGGAAGAAGATCATCTTATGTACATCCAGAACTGATATTACATGTGCAATTTTCAACAGCAACATCCATAATACATTTTTCTCCTGGTAAATTGACCAATCATCTTTAAAGAAAATGTCAGCTTCTCTATATAGTACCTAAAAGAAATTCTGTATAATATTTTGCAGAGACCCAGCAATACAGGTATCTGGGAGATAAAGCTAGAAAACGAGTGCACTAAGTAAAAAGAATGAATATTCCTTCAATTACCACGAGAACTACATCAGTGCCGCTGCTCACGCATAATGAAAATAAGATGCATGGTTAATATATTATTTATATAATGAAAGTAAGTCTGCAATTAAACCATTTCATATCAGCTTCAGCAGATAAAAGAACATGATTCTTAAACAACAGAGAATCACCCCAGGGAAGGCAAACGCCAGATGTAAATTCAAAATAGCGGCAGATCTACCTAGTGGCAGGAGAAGCTCAGAAGTTAGGTGGCACATCTGTGTACTTCACAAGGCAAGGGGCCAGTATTTCTAGGGGAGTATGAACAGTGATTGCTGGTACTGCCAAAAATTGCAAATTAGTCTATTCAGTGTGAAGGTTCAAAGGTCTAAAAACTTTAGCTATATTCTGGCTTGAAGCCCTGGTAGAAACAGCACTGACCCACGTTTGGCAGGGGAGACCAACGTACCTGCAATGTGTGGCTGCCTGTACTCAGCTGAGCTGCATTTCCCTCTTACCACTTCAAAATTTGTCTCTGCTAACAGTAGTGTTTCCAGGTCCCGCTCTCTCTCAAACCCTGGTTACACGTGGCCACTCTCTTATTGGTTTTGTAGTTTATCTCCTTCTGTTTATTTAGCTCCTCTGTGAGTTTTTACAGATGCTGAACATATAATTTTGAAACTTAAGATGCTGAATAACTCTTTGTCTCTTCTCTTTTGACACGATTTTGCGTTATCTATTGCCCAAAAGCTGCTGGCTATTCTTATCTTTCACTTATTTTTTTATTTCAGGTCCCATTAACTCAGTGTCAAATATTCCATAAACTTGCAAATTCAAGAAGTGGCAGGATCAAATCATGATTTAAAAGTAATGTGCCCAGATGATGTAGTGTCAAGGACAAAACATTTCACTTTCACATTAACGGTTTCCACCTGGTTATTGTCTTCAGTTATTGGCAAGGCTTTCATTATTGCCAGCCATGCAGCCTCAGCCTATGTGCAAACGGTTAATGATGATTACAGTTACACACAAAATCCTGTAAGCCACAAAAGCTCACTTTCAGCAAGAATAAAAGAAGAAAACCCACAGCATTCACAAATTAAAATTATTCTCATTGTGTCATGGTCAACTTATATCCCTCTAATTTAGCTTTCAAATGATAAGATAGTCCACGGACCAGACACAATTGCTCATATCTAATCTAACTGTATTGTAAAGCTTTCCCTCCCTAGATCTGTAACAACTTGAAAATAAGCAATGTTTTCTACTCTTGACCTATGATACAGTCTGTATCATCACAACCAGACAGGATTCACTAAACTTAGCAATGAAAATTTGTTTGACATTTTCTAATCTTTGGTGGTCCAGATTCTTCAAGACAGAGACAGACTCTCCCAAGCACCTGACTACAGTACTAATCTCTCTGTATGATTAAAAGCATTTTCCCTAATTAACCTGATGCAATTGAGGTTGCAACAGAAACTAGTTTAACAGATATTTAAGATATCAAAGTAATCGGAGTAGGAGAACCCAGAAAACTTTGTACCAGAACATATGCTTTCCAAACCCTATTGTCAGCCTGAATCTTCTAAGGCAGTATTCAAAGAAGTGCCATGGGCAGATTGTTCCTTCTTCCAACAATAAAAATATGAGGCATACCTTGAAACTGTAAGTGTTGTAAATCACATTTCTTTGATCTAATGTAACTCAGCCTCTGATAAACTGTGTATAGTGGTTTAAAAACTGTATTTGATATGGTTTGGGGAGATAAGGAACAAGAGTAAATGGTTACTTTATCTTTAAAACCATGAGTGATTATGATTGGCATTCTGAGCTCATCTCTGCAAGAAGAAAGTTTTTCAACAACTCTGCAGTGGGATTAGAGTATTATCCTGTAAATAAGTATTTCCTGACCCATTTTCAAACTTTGATAATTTATATGTTATTTGACACCAATGGAAGTATAAAAGGGCTTTTATTAAAAGAGATACAATTGCTGTTTTACAGAGAAAGCGGGGATATTACTTTCTAAAACAGGGTAACTGCACAAACATTAGTGATTCCAGTACAAATACCACCTAGGAGTATGAGAGCTAACAAGGCAATGCAAGTTACCATCCTCACTTAAAAGAGATTCTGTGGACTTTTGAGACAGAATAACAGCAAAAAGGGGGCCAACAGGCAGCAGTAGAATGGGGGGGTTCTGATCTTTGACATAGCAGAGAAGGGAGCTCAGACAGAAGGGGTTTATATAAAGTAAGATTATATCATTCTAGACATATTTACAGCCTTTGAGTCTAGTTCTGATATAAAAGAAAGTCCTTAGCCATTTGTACAGTCACCGATGCCACTGGGACTCCTTCGGTGCTTAAAATTGCACTTTCCTCTGAGGAAATATATAGCATATTTTTAATTGGTCTTGAATTCCAAATAAACACTTGGAATGTAGGATGCTTGGAGATCACATAAGAGGCTTCTTACAAGGATGTATGATGAAGCTAATTGGGTCTGGCATGAATAATGTATTTGAATTCCAAGCCAAATGTAACCAGCATGTTGAGGGAAACAACAGAATGTGTCAGAATTAATATCAGGAGAGCCTTCAGTCTATGTGTTCAACATGATCGTATATCCTTGAAGTTTTGAAGAAGCATATGGAAGTCAAAGGGCTTTTTTTGCAGGAAATACTTGTTCAAATAATTTTATAAATAGCTTTACATCTCAGCCTCCACTAGCCTGGAAGTATCCCATTTCCAAAGGATATTGCAAGAAGAGGGAATACTTCTGCAACAAAATAAATTTCAGAAGTTAACAAAGAATTTTTTTTGCAGAAACCATTGGAGACATTGACTATTCCAGAAAAAAAAAAGAAAAAACAAAACAAAATGCCAAAACCAAACCATGAGCTGTAAGAATTTTTCTATTAAAACCCCCTCCAAAAATAGCCCAGAGAATTCACCTTCCTGAAACACAACTTAACAGGATGCATTAATCACACACTCCACAAAGTAAATAAATGATACTTTTTCTACTTTGCAAAATTATCAAATGGACTATTCTAGGAAGGTTATTTTAATCTTAAGCTGGATAAAGACACTGAGAGAATCTGTGTCTGAAAGTCATCTTCCATGGGCTATATGAATATGTAACAGCAAAGCCATAATGCAGGAAACTATACTGAAATGAAAATTCCCAGCATTTAAATATAGGTAGTGTTCCCTCTCTCCCCACTCTTACTTATCTTCACAGAAACTCCATTCTAACACTTTTCTTAATTTTAGTCATTAATTATTTTCTGACAGCAATATCTTGGACATAATAATGCTTTATATTAACACTCACTGCTAGAAATTATAGATAATGTATTATCTAAAACTTCAGGCTCATAGTTCTCTTTTGGTTAGCAATTGCTTGGCTAATATGAGTTTGTACTTCAGTTAGTACTTGAAGGGAAATACAAGGTATGCATACCATGTCTTCCAGGGTTTGCTTATGGAACCTTCAAAACTAAAGTGCAACAAGTTGAGGAGAACCAAGTCCCATTCAGATGGCAGGCATTAAAGCAGCACAGGCTAGACAAATATTCAGCAAGGCTGACACCTAGTAAAAGTTTAGTGAACTGCAAAGTGAATGTGAGACAACAGCAGAGCTTCAAGAAAGGCAGTCTAGCATCCAGGTTTTTTAGGAGGATCTGAAAAAAACTTTTCTGAGAGAAAAAGCCAACTCTCCAGACAGATACAAGCATGTAATGGAAAATGAACCTAACCTTTCAAAGGGAAAAGTCTAAGGATTTGTTGTTTTCTTACCTGGGGATTTGAAAATAGTAGTCCTGTTTCCTTATGTTTTATTATTGCTGCATTCCCAGGAATGTTCCTTGCCAGCACTGGAATGTCTAAATCCATTGCCTAGAGGAATACAGAAAAAGGAAACAACAGTTTATTAGGATTCAGGGATTTTGAGGTTTTAACGATGTCAATTTTAAAATTAAAAGTAGAAACAACAAACCAAACCTCTTTCCCATCTCTCCAATTTTTTTTAGTTGAAAAACACCATGTCTAAGGTGATCTCCTATATGGAACTTCTCTGAAATATTTTGTTCATATTTTTGTTAGTCTTGTAACTTATAACATTATCAGAAGCAATCAATCCAGAAGGTCACTGGATAGCTGCTTCATCCTTTATTCTTTCCCACCTCAAAGTATGCAGTTTGTTTCCCACTGGAAGCTCCTGACATATAGCAGGCTTGAAGGGGATAAAACTAAAGTTCAGATCAAAGGTTGTAACTGTAACTCCTCCTGTTATTGTGCATAGATTAGAAGATTAGTCCATAGCACAAAAAGACAGTTCTCCCCAACAAAGTATCTGTTCTCTTGTTGCATTAAAACACACTTTTCACAGATTTTCTATAACGTGCAGAACTGGAGAGAGGTGGGCAGTTCAACGACAGTGAAGGTGACTGCGGAAGTCACTTGGCTCTTTCTCATCAATTCTGTTCCCTATGGGTCATACAGAACGCTGGAAGGAGTTTTTCTTTTGACAGCATCTGTTACTATAGCTTGTCTTGGACCTTGAGCATTCAGGGACTGCAGGGAAGTATGCAGTGATGCAGCTTCGGACTGAACTATACCATGGAGAGGAGAGAAAAGGTTATGCTTTCAGAATGCATTGTGCTTTCAAAACATATTATCTACAAAGCTATTGGTATGGGAGTCCTCAGAGACCAAGGAATACATCTAAAGAAGTAGGATTTGATTCCACATAAATTATGGGCTGGTTGCTTGATGTATTCATTCATTCATTTGTATGTATATGTATGTATGCATGTATGTATACACATAAAAAAATGGAAAGGAAGTGTGGGAGCTCAACATGGTAGCGTTTCAGGTTGCCTGCAGGATCAGGAGCAGAGTACAGCATCTGTTCAAAACTAGTAAAATATTTCCAAGAGATCTAAAGCCTGGAAACTTTTAAGACTATAGCTTAGATTTTGAAGTAACTAGTGTGCAAACCCTGTCCACTTAACTCTGTTACTCATGCATATCCTGATCTGAAACTTTAATTACTGTTGATGAATTTGGAAGTCTTGAGATGATGCACTGACTAGAAAAACGAGAAAAACTCATATTGTACAATTATCACAGTATCAAACAAGAGAAAGAAATTCATTCCTTCAAATCTTTAATCTGTTTCATAGAATCATAGAGTGGTTTGGGTTGGAAGGGACCTTTAAACATCATCTAGTCCAATCTCTCTTCAGTGAGCAGGGACATCTTCAACTAGATCTGGTTGTTCAGAGCCCCGTCCAACCTGACCTTGAATGTTTCCAGGAATGGGGCTTCTACCACGTGTCTGGGCAACCTGTTCCAGTGCCTCACCACCCTCATCATAAAGAATTGCTTTCTAATATTCAAGCTAAATCTCTCCTCCTTCAGCTTAAAGCCAGTACCCTTTGTCCTGCCACTCCATGCCCCAGTCCCTCTCCGGCTTTCATAGAATCATAGAATGGTTAGGGTTGGAAGGGACCTCAAAGATCATCCAGTTCCAACCCCCCTGCTGCAGGCAGGGACACCCTCCACTAGACCACATTGCCCAAAGCCTCATCCAACCTGGTCTTAAACACTTCCAGGGATGGGGCCTCCACAACCTCTCTGGGCAACCTGTTCCAGTGCCTCACCACTCTAACAGTAAAGAAAGAATTTCTTTCTAACATCTGATCTAAATCAACCCTCCTTCAGCTTAAACCCATTACCCCTTGTCCTGTCACTACACTCCCTCATAAACAGTCCCTCCCTCACCATCCTTCCTGTAGGCCCCCTTCAGGTACTGGTAAGCTGCAATTAGATCTCCCCAGAGCCTTCTCTTCTCCAGGCTGAACAAGCCCAACTCTCTCAGCCTGTCTTCATAGGGTCTGCAGCCCTCTGATCATCCTCGTGGCCTCCTCTGGATTCACTCTAACAGCTCCATGTCCTTCTTATGTTGGGGGGCCCCTGAGCTGGACACAGTACTCCAGGTGGGGTCTCATGAGAACAGAACTGAGGGGGAGAATCCCCTCCCTTGATATGCTGGTCACACCTCTTTTGATGCAGCCCAGGACACGGTTGACTTTCTGGGCTGCAAGCACACATTGCCAGGTCATGTTGAGCTTCTCATCAACCAACACTGCCAAGACTTTCTCCTTAAGGCTACTCTCCATTCTCCACCTAGCCTGTAGTTGTGCTTGGGATTGCCCTGACCCATGGGCAGGACCTCGCACTTGACCTTGTTGAACTTCATGTGGTTCGCATGGGCCCACCTCTCAAGCCTGTCAAGGTCCCTCTGGATGGCATCCCTTCCCTCCAGCATGTCGACCCACTACACAGCTTGGGGTCATCGGCAAACTTGCTGAGGGTGCACGCAATCCAACTGTCCATGTCTCTGACAAAGATGTTACACAGTGCCAGTCCCAACACCAACCCTTGAGGAATGCCACTCATCACTGGTCTCTACTTGGACCTTGACTCGGCAAACTTGCTGAGGGTGCACGCAATCCAACTGTCCATGTCTCTGACAAAGATGTTACACAGTGCCAGTCCCAACACCAACCCTTGAGGAATGCCACTCATCACTGGTCTCTACTTGGACCTTGACCCATTGACCACTACCCTCTGGATGCGACCATCCAACCAATTTCTCATTCACTGAACAGTCCACCCATCAAATTCGTATCTCTCCAATTTAGAGAGAAGGATGTTGTGGGGGACCATGTCAAAGGCCTTGCAGAAGTCCAGATGATAGACAACATTCAAATCCTACTGATTCCCTGTCCCTTCACAGTGAAAGGATTTTTAATTACTGTCATTACACTCCTGGATGGGGAGCAATTTTGCTTCAGTCTACATAGCAAGAAAACAAAACTCCAAGGAGAAAACCATGCTTTTCTATAGTTTGGACAAAACTGAAGACAAAAATACCCTGGCTGATAATGTACAGAACCAATTATGCTTTGAAGAATGAGGGACTGCTGTGACTTAGCAACATGTCTTAATAGCTTAAAATATTCAAGAGAACCACTGTTTAAATCACTACTGCAGATGAATTTACTCTGGACATAGAAATTCTACAGTCCATCTGGCACAAACATCTGCTTTGCAGTAGTTAGCTCTAAAAATAATAGTAACCCTTAATGAAATAACCTGTTCTACACTTTGTATCAGAAACTACTGGGTCAGCTGGAGGTAATTCAGACAAACAGATTAACAAAGTGAACACAAACCAGAATAAATAAATGGCAAACATAAAAACTACAGACCAGATTTCTGAATTTATCTAAGTGTCTAAAGTTGCTGAGATACAGCTTTTTTAAAATAAAAAAAGTCATTTTCATGAGAGGAAACACAGTTTTTGGTCATCCAGAAATTATTTTGTCATTTGCTCTGACTTCACTGTTAAACAAAACAAATCTGTTTTCCAAAGGTAGATTTACAAAAACATACGATGACAGTATCTACTTATCAGTACAGCAAAGTTCATAGAACTTCAAAGTTCATCCAGGAAATGAGAGATACCGGTGCCCCACTCTGCCTGACAGGTTTTGAATCTGCGGGTCGAGGAAGTTGCTTTTGGCTCCAATTACCCAACCGTAGACCTAACACAGAGTTCCCACAGAAGCGCCAACATCTCAAAGAGAGACAGAATTTCTGATTCAGCTCTTTTTCGGTCCTTCCCATTGACAGGCTTAAATGCCCTTGTGTTCAGTCAGCTGGCTGTTGATCTCAAACACGTTCCATGAACAGGGAACGAAGATATTTTACTTGAACTTCTGAACTGAAAATCAAGAGCTTGACAGTGGCAGTGAAGTGTGTCAGCATTCACTGTCACCTGCCTAAGGCCCTCTCCTCAACTCTTTGTATTTCTCCTTTTAAAAAACAAAACCGTAAGAGTATTTCAGGTCTGGCTATGTTCCAAACAAGCAATTGTCCGTTCAAGGGAAAGACCCCCATTAAAAAAAAAAAAGAAAGCATGAAAGAAGACACACAAAACACAGCACAACCACCTCAGGACTGATGGTTGGACGTGCCACCATCCTCACAAATAGTCACCTGCCAGACAGAGAGGAGTCTCGATTCGAGCACAGCAGATGCAGCAAAGAGTAGACACGGTGCCGTTGGGCTGTACAGCTACAGTGATTGTGAAGTACATGTAAGAGTTCCCTGTGGCAGTTCTGAGTTAGACTGTACCTAGCAGTGTGGTGGCATAGGGTGGCACAGTATTGCTGTATTGCAGTTTAGATTGGACTGTAGTGCACATTTAAAAAAAATTTGTCACAATATATGTTCATTCACTTCTATTTCTGAATGCTACATAGTGGATGACTCATTGAAGTTGATCACTAAGTTTGTATTTCATTTTCCATAATTTCTGAAGTCTAAAGGGAAAGACATTTGTTCTGTCTCATAGAGTTGGAGGGCAGTAACTGCTACATAAGAAAAATTTCAGGTCCCAAAACACATAGGTACCAATGAATTATAGCTACTGAAAGACAGAACAGATGGCCAAATGCATAAGATGAGGGGCTGGCTTTATACCAGCTAGCCTTAAACAAATGGATTGAGCTGTAAATAATTTCTGCATGAAGTGGCTTAGAATTTAATTTAGATAGTCTATTTTTAAGCAGTAAAAAGAATCATTTGCATTGTTGAAAAGAGGTGTTATTTACTGACCTAGGTTCTACAAATAATAGCATAAAATAACATTTTAGTCCATTGGCCATCTGTTTTGTTACATTATTCTGACTGCAAATGTGTTTTAATGCTATTTCAGAAGGATGCAGGGTGTAAATTTCAGCTTTGGAAGCATGTTACACAATAAGCATTTCTAACCAGCAGTACAAGGCTTACAGAGTAAATACAGGTTTTATTTACTATTTTATCTTCTGGATTGTCCCTCATTTTCTTCCTCCTAGTCTATGCATCTTTTTGTTGTCCCCTCTTCAATTTTACTGGTTTACAACATCCTTTCATTATTTTTTTTGTTTGTTTTTATAGCTTGCTGTGGCTTATATTCCAAACTACTAGGCCAGTACTTCACATGTTGTCTAAGACTGGATTTTGCCCTACAGCAGAATAGAATCTGGCCATCTTCCTTTTCTATGATGATTTTTTAAATTTTTTTTTTCTTTTGTAAAAGCGTAACAGTCTAATGATTTTTACAATAGCTGGAATACTCTTGAGAGGACCAAAAAATTACTCTGATGAAATGGTGCTAGCATCAAAATCTTTTTCTTACAAACTATATAGAGAACATATAAAATTTTCCTGCAGTAGTGCCTGCTTCACCATCACATGCCCAGGAACATGCAGAACTCCTGAGCTTTCTGAGAAGAGATGTATTTTAAACACTTGCTATAATGCTTGTTTTCTCTTCTTCAAATGCCAAACAAAAAAATAGATCAGTTACAGCAAAATCTCTGCGATATCAGTACTAGATGACGAAGTAATTAGTTATGCTTTCTAGTTCTTTCATACCTTAAGGCAAGTTGAAAGAGGTATGATTATATATTTATCTCATTTATCTATTATATATTTATCTCATACTAAAATACTGTTTATAGATTCATGACCTTGTTAAATTTTGAACTTTAAAAAGAAAGCAAGTTGCATTTCCAAATTCAAGCAAGATGTTATCTCCAGCCTAGGACCAAGAGATTTTTATACATAGTTTTCTGCCTTATTAATTTAACAAGAGCTTAACAGATGTCCCTTCCTACTGCTGGCCACCTCAAGCAGGGACTTGACTTTATTAGACTGACACTTCCTCTGAGACAGAGATTTTTACAGTAGGATATTTTATAAGGATGTCATCAAATCCCACCATACAACTGTCTAGTAAACAGACATACAATACCAAAACACTTATAACTTTAGACAAAGAATTCAAACAGGTCTGAGGTACTAAAAAGGGCAAGCTTCAGGTAGGTGCTCAAGAGATAACGAAAGACATAATTCTGCTTGTAGAAAATCCTGACTCAGCTGGGACCGCAGCTGTTATCTCCCAACACCTGTGCCATGTCTATCAGCTTTCCTTCCTATAATGCAAGATTTCACTTTGCACCTGTAACTGGTAACTCATCTGCTTGTAGCCAATATGCACCTGAACTATCATGCTCAGGCTTCTGAAGGTGTGGCAGCTCTTTTAATCACTGTTACTTGACTTCCATGATAAACTCCAAGTTATCATGAGTTAGCAGTTCAGAGATTAGGCTGTCTTTCTTCCACTATTCAAAAAGGCCACTATAGTACTGAGGCTGGTGAAAAGAAATGGGTTACATCTATGGTTACGGATTTATTTTTCTCTCTCTGTGAAGAGAATTTCTCATTTCCAAACAAGAATATGTAGCCTTTTTACAGTTCTCTATAATAATTCTTATATAACTGTACAGAGTAGGAGCAGCCACATAATACCTCCCACGAAAGGTGAGCAGCTCTCAGCTACCATCTCACTAACCAGCAGCCCCATACTTCTGAACAGAATGTGGGACTGCGAGAGCAAAACTGTCAGGATGCTGAGCACACCTCCACATGAGCATGGTCCTGATGGTTCAAGAGGCAGCACCACAGCAGCAGAAGTGTCTTACTTGAGAAACTATGGTAGATATTTCAGCTAGCTGCTCATATCCTGATGTAGCAATATAAAATGAAATGGGTAGTGGCAAAATGTGAACGGTGACAGCTCGAAAGCTTGCATGTCTTCTCATCTGCTGACTGTTTGCTAGCACTGGTAATTTCTGGTAGAAAAGCAAGGCAGAGAGTGAGGGTTCCAGGGGGAAATATTCCACTTTGGAATATTTGAAGTTGCATTTTATTTTCAACACATGACTATGCATGAACGCAAACCAAACCTGACTATTAGGTTTGAAATTATTCCACCAATGTAATAACAGAAGAAAGGAGAACAGGACCTTTTTCTCTTCTTTTGAAGAAAGTTATCATGTACAAGGAAGTAGCTAACAGCCTACCATAGGTCAAGTCTTGCACTTAGAAGAATTTAATTTTTCCACTATGGACATTTGCCAGTTTATTTTAGCATGTTTAGCTGTCAAACTCAGATTAAGACTTAAAGGTAGATTAAATGTTGAATAATTTTTAGTAAAGGTAGTGTCTTCAGTAGAATTAAATGTATCAATCATAAGACTAGCCTAGGACATGAATTGCACAGCTACATGTAAGATAAAAAAGTAAGACTAACTAATCTACTATATAAGTATAAAAATACATCTATATATATAGAAATAAATTCAGCATGAAAAATAAAATGAATACTTCTTGATGATTCATCCTAGTATATACTTTTTTCTGATGTAAGAAAAACATCAAAATGGAGGAAACTAATGCTGCAAGTGTGTATAAAGACATCCTGCATAGAATGCTCTTTTGCCAGAATAGTCTTGTAATTCTTAGAGAAAGAAGAGAAATAGAACAGGAAGTGTTTACTATTCTGTTTGTGTAGTCGTTTTCAGTGAGAAAAACAGTTGTTGGAGGAGGGAGGTTTGGTTTTGGGGGTTTTTGACAGGTCTGGGTATGAATTGGGAATAAATTACTCAACATAACTGTGTAGCCAAAACTTAAGGGACAGTCTTCCACTAGAGGTGGTATTTGACTATTTAATAGCCCTGATAGGATAATTGAGTAGTTCAGCCACACAGAGGAGAGCTCAAATAAAAACTTTCCTTGTTGATTTAGTCTTATAGTTATCAGATTCAAAACTTGTCAGAATTGCAACTTCAAAAGAGCAAAAATCAATAATTCCTGAAGCAGGCTCAACATTACCTCTGAAGTAAACTAGCACTGTCTTTTTGCTTTGAGTTACCACATATTTGTTAAGGCACAGAACTAACAAGATTGCTCCCTCTCCTGATAAAAGCTAAGGAATGTGCCTTTTAACTGCTCAAATCTGATGGGGAAATTTTGGGGGAAAATTATACCAATTGTCCCATCAGTCCTAAGTTTGCATAACGACTTGTATCAGGCCAAGCATGCTTGCACTTCTGTTGCAGATGCTGTGTCTCTTAACAGTCTTTCTGGTTTGATTTTTTCCTCATCCTTTCTAACTCACTGACATTCTCAGGAAGTAAATCAGACTGATTTTTGGTCAACTGTTATGTGAGTGGTCCTGAAGGGAACGTGTAACTGGTGAGGAGGAGGTGACAGTTACTTAACTTTTACTTCTGTGAGTCACTGACTTAGTTGTGACTGTGTACTGTGTTGGTATGCTCCATTTCATCTCAACTACCAAAGACAAAAAATTTGTCTGGCCTGCCACACTGATAAGTTTGGAAACGTCACAGTCTGTAGCAATTGTTTTTTATAAAGTATTGGTGCTGTGAAACAGCATCTGCTTCCACCTCTGAGCACTGCCATTTTAGAAAGGAAATACACATTTGCTATCTTACTACCACCTAACTTTCATAATTCTTACAATGCTCACTTAGTTCTTACTTATGAAGGACTTTCAGATGTGTGGAAGAAAAACATGCTGGAAATGCAACATGCAATTACTCATTAGAAACAGAAATAGGAGATTCATGAATACAAATCATGTAATAGTTTCTGTGATCTTCTGAGATCATCATGAACCAACATTCAGCAGTCACCAAAAAAAATGGAATAGTAGAAGGCGTTTGCCCAAAGAACTTCAAGTACTTTTTTTTTTTGTTTTCCTAGAAAGCATTTGATACTAAGCAGCACCCTACTTTGACTGGTATGAAATAAACCTGGTTATTAATTTTCAATACTGATGGCAAAAAAATTAACCGAGCATGTCATTTATTCATTAATCATTTCAGAATTAAATAACCAAATACAGGTCTTAGATTGCTTTTTGAAAGGATGTAAAAATAAATGAAAGTCTATTCTAGCAATATTATAAGGAAGTGGATGTTGAATCAAGAATAGTGACAACCCCAGTAAATCAGAACAATTCTTATATCGCAGGTTGGTATTGTTAATTTAACAGGATTGATAAAATTACATTCTGTCCTTTAAAAAATAAATAGACAAAGCATAAAAATCTGTCAGTTCAAAGGAAGAAAACCTTAATTACTAACACTCACAAAAAGACATATTTTAGTTTTGTCTTTAGTAGCTTTGAAACATGGACATAAAATGTTGACACACATTTCCAGTGATAAAAGGTGATTTCAGATCACTGTAACCTCACTGAAAAACCTTACCGCTAAGATGCAATTACCTCCAGAATTGCAGCAGACATCCCCTCTGAAATGGAGCTGTTCACCACAGCAAAGCACCTTTTCATAGCAGCATGAAGATCATCTTGTGGCACCTCTGGTAATAAATGTACTCCAGGCGCCCTAGAAATCAAATGCACACAAACAGGACACCTCCTAAGAACCTGCTCTAACAATTCTTCCTAAAACTTAGGGCAAAGACGGAAGGTGGTCAGAGCAATTCAGGCATGGTTCTGATGCTAACAATCGCTTGCCCAGGGGCAAGCCACTTGACCATTTTTTCGGTAGCTTTCTATATGGTTATAAACTCAATACAGTATACATTGCTATCTGCCACTTCATTGTCTGTTGTTCTGGAGTTTTATAGTTGAGCACTTTACACCATGCTCTGTTAACCACAATTGGTCTCATAAATGAAGGATCTGAGTTCAATGGGTAGGAGTGCAATTTTCCCTTAAAGAACTTGTGTAATAGAGGGGGTATGCATGCAGATATTTATGACAAACACTCAGTTTAAATACTTAGGGAAATGGAGCAAGATCATCAGAATGGTCAACTGCAGGAGACATTGACTTTTCAGATGCTGGCTTTTGGGGATGAAATCTGGTTCTGAAAGATCTATTCTGCTTCCTCTTTTATTATAAGCACTCTTGTCTTCTGAATGTCTTCTGACATTTCTACTGTCCTCACCTTCCTCAGATTAATCAAGGTCAACCGAATCAAGGGTGAAGGGTAGAAGAATGGGCTAATTAGGTGTTCAGTCTCAGATGAAGTGAATGAGAGCTTTAAGGCTGGTGACCGTTTTTGAAAAGCCAGCATCTCCTTTGCTTGATGAGCCAGTTTCTGCCTTTTTAACCTCAACATGAGATCACTAAGCCAGATGGAAACACAAGTGCATTTGACATTAAGACCGGCTCCCTGTCAACTGGACTTTGTTAAATACTGCTTTTCTGATTGTGCAGTAACATCCAGCTTCTGCAGAGATAAATAACTGTATCAACTGGAGTATAAATGCCTGATTCAGGAGCTATGTTTCCCATGAATAACCTGACAGGAAACAAAAAACATTCTCAAAAAATGGAATTGGAAAACATCCAAGAAGAATAATAAATATAAATTACACCTAATTCTAAATCAGATGTAACACAAAACATGAAGACATCTACTGGTTATTCTAAAATTTAAAATGTGTAGAATACCTTGTCTGAGAACGTTAAATGCCAAATTATCAGACCACATTTGTTAGAGTTGTGCATTTATGTTCATTTGTAGATCCAAAGAGCATTTATGCACATGATCTAAAAAGCTATTCAGCCAACTGCTTTCATTCAGCTGAAGCAGATAAAAGGCTTCTTACCTATTAACTTTTTCCTTAACTTCGCTCGTAAAAAATGGATCAACCTAGAAAGGAATATACACACAGGTATATGGCGTTACTTTAGCATATGTTTGAAACATCCAGAAAATAAAAATCAATTTTAGCATATTTTTAACTAAAATATTTAAATGTATGAATGTGCTGAGCTTTAAAATCATACCACAGATCTGTAATTTGGTAGTTACATTTGACTTTTCAGCCAAATGCTCTTGTGAGTGATTGACACTTAGAATATCCAGCTGGGGGGGGGTGTGAGTGCCCAGTATAGCAGAGCGTGAATTGACTACTCCACTCTAAATCCTTAAGTGACTACTCTAATGCAGTGTAGCTTTGGGCTACTGTCAGAAGGGGAGGTTCCATTTCTTCTCCCCTGACATCCCTCTGGCTGCAGGTTCTAATTAGAGCTAGAGTTATTTAACATGAATGACTGTTTTCAGATGACTCTGCTAAGGCTAACGTGATTCAAATGACCGATTTGACAACTCACTGTCTAAGTGAGGAACAGTACACTGATGTGCCAAGCAATTGTCTGTCCCTTTATGTATGGAGTAACCAACGTGAGGAAGAAAAGCAACTTTTCAGGCTTTAGTTAACACAGGAAGCAATCCACACATAAACTGAGACAGTCAAACATTTGTTTGAAAACTAATAAACACAAAATCCTAAAATACAGTCTAACATGAAAGCGTGCTAGTGTTATTAAAAAGTTGTCTAAGCTGGGCAATTAACTCCAGCAGGTTTATTCACAAAGTGTAACTATGTCTGCTAATTTCATTTAACATGATAAAAAGAAATAAACAGAACTTTGAAATCCTTAACTAGACATGAAGAACAGAACTAGATTTTTTTATTAAGGCTGAATGACTAGATTAGCTTAATTTATGATAGCTTGTGCAGCACACAGCAGTTCTAAGTACTGGGAACAACATGGCTTATTTTTTTAACACATTAATATTCTGGGGTTTTTTTTCACATTATAAGTTAGAGAACACTCACAAAGCATTTTAGAAACCTCTTGGAAAAAAGTAAGAATTTATTTTATAACTATGATTGTGTACTTTGAACACAAGATTAATTATTTCATAAAACCAGAGCTTCATGAATTAAAAGATTCATGTGAATCACTCCTGCACTAAGGAATGAATTCCTACTGAATGCAAGAAATAAAAGGCTTGCATAACTGCTTAAGAAAGTATTTTTAGTAACAGCAGTGGGGAAAATCAAGTGTCCTTTCCTGAAGCACTGCCTGATCCTGGCGACAGAGCATGACACAGATCCATACACCAAACCAGTATGTCTTGTCACAGGTTCCTTGGATATTTCATACTGAACTTCACAATTGCTATTTCTTTATAAATACCTTTTCAGCTTTTTTCCCAAAGTACTATTTTGATGCTGAGTTCCTCTCATGAGGAACTATACTCTGTTTCCATTAAAATCAATGGAGTACTTGCAAGTGATTTAATGAGCAGTGGGATATGGTCTTCTGCTCTTCTACTTTTAGAAGGATGAGAAAAACTACAGTCTGTGACTCATAAAATTTGTAAGATATTAATTTCTATCCCATCTACTTCTGTGGAAGCCAAGAAATTGCCATCTGCCATATAAACAGAACAATCCTTTAAGCTGTATTCATCTATTGGTAGATATTCCAAGAAAGCTGGCCTGAATATGAGAATTCAGTTAAAATATTACTTTTAGGATGGGTGTAGCAATGACTTAGAGAAGTGATCCCCTTGAGCTACATTTAGAAACTTGAGGGGGCACAGTTATCTAACCACAGGCTCAGTATAACAGAAATTAGATACAACATAAGCTGTTCACTAAGTTGGAAATGCACTTAAAAGATGTGAATGCTTCCAAAGCCAACTGACTATGGCAGGATGCTCAGGAACTTAGCACTGTCGCAGAAAAAGCTACTGAAAAGTATCTTTCTTCTACCCAAAATGTCTCTGTGATCCAGTTCTTCCGCAGGTAGAGTGTTTGTTGCCACATTTTTTTACCTATCAACGTAGCACGTAAATGTGATCATCAGTTACCTATCATCTTTTGTTAAAAAAATCATCCATCCAGAGGAAGATCCTTCAGAGCGCTGCACATTTAATCAATTTAGCAGAGATCAGAGGATGGCAGCTTGTGTCGTATGAATAGTTTCGATCAGAACAGATCAGATAAGATGACACATGGAAAAGAGAGTGGGCACAGAGCAAGAAACCACACCTACCAGAACCAGATATACTGTTCAGGAAGTTCTACTCTGCTGACAGACAAAGAAACATCTGAGACATGTTTGACAATGCGGAAAGTCACAGACCAAACGCTGCACAACAATGAAGGTGCCTGTTAAGCACAGGGCCTACTACGATCAAAATCTGGAAAATCTTCTATAAACACACTATATTAAATTGCTGTCATATAAAAATTAACTCAGACAGAAGCAACAGTGCAGAAACATCTTCATTTTAGTGCTGGGCTACTGTGGGCCTCTAGACTTTGTAGGGCAAACCAGATCTTTGTACATTTACATTTCTGTCAGAGTATCATCCAGAGTACTAAAGAGTGAAACGCTGTATCTGCAAGCATATTCAATATGGGTAGGAAGAATTTGCTCAATTGCTCAGGTTTGTGAGGTTTCGACAAAAAAAGCGTTAGAAGAGTTGTCAGCTTAATGGTAGCAGTAGCTCTTACCTTTTAAAAACTATCTTAGTGAGTAGGACACTTATTCAGGATGTCACTGGCAGAATTTCATATTTCTCAGCAGGCTAAAGAATTTGAAATTGTATCTTTGTCTCCTATCTGATTTTCCTCATTGTTGTGCTCTAGGATGTTCTGGAGCAGGTTATTAGACTTCCTCTAGTTGCTTAGTTTAGTTGTGTCAACAGCTGTTTCATTTTAGAACTAGCCCAGAAAACATACCGTAGGTAGGAGCCATCCATTATAAAGAGATGGGCTACGTGACCCAATAGGTCCCTCCATCTGTGGAGGCAGATATTCAACTAAAACGGTCTCGATAGGCATGGAAAGAAGTCAGACAGATGAAAAAATACCGGACAGTGAAAAACAGTGCAATTACAAACACAGCAATATTCTGTACTGTCTACAAGAACAGTTAAGAATTGTGCAGAAAGTCCAAAGAGGGCTTCAAGAGGTTACCCAACAGCTAGTCACAAGTTTTATGGCCTTAACTTTTTTAGAAGTTTCATAAGCTTCTATTATTGGAATATAGAGCTGCTGAAAATCTCCTATTGTTTCAAATTTCATTACAGAAATGAAAAACTGGAAGAGGAAATAAATGCTAAAAATTGTACAATATACAGGATCCAATCCTGCCACATTACTTACATTGTACCATTTGAGACAATCATGCATAGAAAATGCAGGGAAAAGGTTGTAATCTTATGGAAGCAAAGCAGAAACCAGTGGGTGGGCCTTTTGTTCTTTATATTCCTAATTAATATAATCTTCATGTGCTTTTTTTAAACATTCACAATAAACATGACTTGCTTCACAGATAGTGGCACCGATTTTCTTAAGATTTTGCGGTTTGATAAGTAACACGAATAAGGCAAGTAGAGCTGAATACCAATAGAACTGAGATTTATTTTCATCCTTTAGCAATATTTTAGTACTATGGGAGAAATATGTTTTAAATTGTTTTAAGGAGGTTCAGTCCTTGATCCCGCCTATGCATTGCCACAGGGTTATTTCTGGTAGCTTACCGTAAAGACGTTAGCTTATGAAAAAGTGAAGCAAATTTAAAAAGACGACTGAAATGTTCAAAATCCTCACTGGAGGCAGCAAGTGCATCTTTTGATTCGAAAGCACAGCTTCATTACACCTACTCTAGATTTGCCTTCCACACCAGTTCACTTCCAAATCATTTTGTGTATTAGTGTGGAAAAAAATGCAGATAAAATAAAAATGTAAAAACAAGTTTAAAAAATAAAATCCTATGTCTCAAAATTTAGAAAGAACAAAACTGAATGAGAAAATAGGAAAATAGTTCTTATTTGCCAATTCCAGTTTTATTTATTTTCTTATAAAACAGACTGCCTGCAAGTTTTCAGGCTCATGTGAAGATGAATCAGAGATGAGACTTAGAGAGGGACACGAACACATTACCCAGATGAAACACTGAAGCTTTTAGTACCCTTTTAGCATCAGCAAGAGTTTGTTTCCTGTGACACAGCTGCCTACTCATACCTTTTCCACTAGTTAGATTAAGGCTACAGGCTGCCTTTTCAAGCCTTCTGCTCCTATGGATATATTTGCAGCACAACCAATTTCTTTTTTCAAAGTCCTGCAATTAGTTTTGTTAGCCTAGCATAAAGTATGTTCCCTTGACATAGGCAACATCCTAGAAGCAGAAGAAGCAGGACAGTGTCCCTGCAGCTCCAGCTGGGCTGTGGGAAGCTGTGGCAATGAACCTCGTTTTGCACAGAATTAGGAGAAGTGCTTTGGTGGCTCAGAGGCATCTTTTCCCCTCTCCCTCACCAATTTACAGTGCAGTCGCTACTGTTGAGGATCTGGCCCACAGCAAATACTGCGCTAGAAAATATTTTGGTAGAGTATTGGTTAGACTGAGATTTGGGAAATATTCATCTTTCTCTCATGGTTCTGAAAATAACCATGCATTTTGTAGTTCTGCACTTTTTCAGCACTATACTTAACAGAAATCATAAAAAACATTTACTCGTTCATGGATGGTTCCTTTCTAAAGGCCTCAGTTTCTGCAGGTGAAATCAAACAGATCTCAAAGTGGAAATAACTGGAAACAATGGTGGATACTCAAAGATCAAGTTTTAAGAGACCATTAGAAAAGAAAGGACTGGCAGAAAATTTAAGCAACCCTTTTAAGCATTCAGAACAGACATACTCAGACTTGGCTCAAGTGGTGCATGCTTCCCTCTTCAGAGACATTCAGTCTTCTTACCTTCTCAAAAACCATGCTACTTGATTTAAAAATTATGGGGTGGAGTTGGGAGGGTTCAATACTTTTATTGTTTATCTTCTTGCTTCCTAAGCCCACATTCTCAAACCTTTCTCCACAAATAGAAGAAGATTATTTCATAATAATGACTGCGATAGTTTTGATTTTAAACTCTTCCAGGAGCTGATGCTTCATGAAAAGCAAACCACTGCTGAGAAACTCATGACAACATTTTGAGACAGCAACCCAACTGTACGTTTTATCTAAAGAGAGTTAGCGGTCACAGAAGAGCTGCCATTTAGCTGATTGACCCTGTTGTGAAAAGACAGAATCACAAGTTGTAACTTCCAAATTTGTTAAACGGGATCTTTATGACTTAGCGGCAAAACATGAAATCTCACATTAATAATGGCCAGCACTTTTACTAAAATACATATAATTCATTTGGAAGGAATGCTACCAACTCTAAGCTTAATCTGAGATGTGGGCATATAAGAATAACTCCGTTTCTGATTTTATTTATTTTATTTAACCCCATCTTCACTCTCAGATATCTGTATGAGGCTTTAGTGCACTCAGATTCTAAATGTGTAACAGACTTCACCAATTCTATTTGCCAGCTCAAGCTCTGTCCTTGCTGTCTGGTGTCAGACAGAAACCTAGCATCATTTTGCACCTGCTGACAACTGTTAATTGTGCACAAATGAGACTACCAGAAATGGCATCAAAACCTAAATGGAATGGAACAAAGATGCGAACTCCATGTGAACAAAAGATGTAAGAACAGGGATAATGAGCATCTGATATCACCTTCACAGTATTAAAAACCCTCATTAACAATACCTGCTAAAAAAATTATTCTCGATGGCAACAGTTGCCTTTCAAAATATTTGATAGGTTCATTTATAAATTATTCATATTGAAATAGGCATTTCTAATATTTTATTTGCAAGAGTTCACATTTTTAATACTTTCTGATTCTCTAAGAAATTTTGTACTATCCCATAGGTATAAAAATAGAAGCTAATATTAGAATTCAAATATTTTGACACTTTTTATCTTCAAAAGTTGTTTCTGTAGTCAAATGATACATTAAATGTTTTGTTCTAAGAGACCATAATAGATTAATAGCATTATAAAGTCATGTGCTTGAGCTGGACATAAAATTATAGTAATCCAGCTGCAAATGCTCTTTATAAAACTAGCCCAAGTCTTCTAAACAAAGAATATCAGTATATGTAAAACAAATCTACAGCTGCTGTAAACTATTTTAACGCTATTGATAACAGTTTGCATTAATACAAGCCTAACTGAATAGAGTTGGGCTACCTTAGTGCTTATCCTCTCAGAAAAGCCCGCTTAGCTGCTTTCCCTTTTGCAGTGCAAAAGCAGAGCCCATGCTGAGTGAGGAGGCCTTTTAGCTGACAGCAGAACTCTGAACTTTGGAAGTCCGAGCACTAGAATCGCTTCCACTTCCACGGTTTAGACCTGTTGTGAACAGCCTTTACAACTGCTAGGTTTGTACTTCTTATCTCTGTAACAGTTAGAAGTCCTCTGACTCGGGTTCAGTTTGGAAAGAATTATTCCAATATTCAGATGCAAGTAAATGGAAGTATTTAGGAATAAATATACAAATGAAATAAAAATTACAACAGCAACTTACTGCAGGTCCAATTATGCCCAGATGGACACTGGGATCCTTTCTGTGCCAGTCTAAAACAGGAGAGGAATATCTTTTTTATTACTCAAAATTATTAATTTTTAGTTTAATTCTTCCTCTGAAATCAATGTAAATAGCTGCATGAATAAAGAAGAATAGGCAAATACTGTATTACTACTTAAAAGACTGAATGTGCACCAGATTTCATGCTCAGCCCTCACATTACTCGTCAGAATTCAAATGATTAGCATAACTGAAAGTTAGTATTTAGCATTGCTGCTTCATGCAATCTCTTATGATTCAAGGGTAATTTAACTAAGCTCAGATATTAATTTTGAATTATCTCAAGAGAACAACGCTCTATATAATGCAGTGACTCTGGCCAATAAGACAAAATAATTTGAATTTTTCCTATGTAAAGGAACATGTGGAAGCAACTGCAACCACTACAGTTAATACTCAGTTATACGCACAAGAGAAATCTGCTGCTCTTTCAATACCAGAATAGAACAAAACTAGTTACTTGACTTTAATAAACTACATTTGTTACTAAGCGTCACAAGGCAGTAGAGGCTTATAAAAGTAAGCTGAATAGTGGAGGCTAAATTTCCGACTTGGAGTACCTGAACCTTTTACAGAGACAAACAGAACTCAGCAAAACATTCATGTACTTGACTACGAGAAATCTTCAGCCTAGTTTACAGTGTTGAGCCATAACGATGGGTGGTAAAATTTGCTTGTAACTTCAATGATATTAATTAACACACATGCAAATCAGTGTAACAGCCATGGGACAGTAAGATTAAAAAGTTATTTTGAAGTAGGTGAACTCTTCTTCTGTCTTCCATTAATATTGTATGTAACAGCAAAATAGTTTTCCCAGCAAGTAAAAATCATCAAACATTGCTTTGATTTTAATGCTCTGTTATTCCCAGCAGGCAGGAAAAGACGCAGCACAGAAATAATGTGTTGAACAGATCAATGGTTACATGAGCATTTCTTTTTTTAAAAGTAAATATATTATGAAGTTTTCTGCAATGAATAAAACAGCTTATGTCAAACTTAGAAACATTCAAAGAAATGCATCTGAATCCAGGGACAAAACAAGTATTTAAATAACAGTACCTACCTGAAAATACATCTACTAAATACAGAGGGTCTTTGACTCTTCGAAGTCCGCATATCAAAAGAAACATATGTAAACCGCCTGTATCTGTAGAAATCTCTGTAACAAATAATGTAAAAAGTCTGAATGCAGATAAAAAGATGAACACTCCAAATTGATTCATGAATGAGCACATAAAGTGGTAAAAACAATAATGGGGTGGATTCTGAAAAATTCCCATTATTGTTCCCTCTGTTTCTTGTTCTTGCATCAATTCTCAAATCAACTCAGTGGAGAATTTAATCATGTATATCATATCATATCATATCATATCATAGGGCACAGGAGTTTACTTCCAGAGGCAGTGAATGTGCAGGACTTGGAGGAATGGTCAGTAGCCGGTATTCTTGAACACCAGAACCCAGCTTTGACTGACAAGGCAACTATACAAATCAATGTGTTTCTCAATTTTTCTACCCATAAGAAGAAAAAAAAAATCACATCCATATAATAACTCAACACCTGTTTCAAGGATATTGTGAGGTTTAGTTAAACAAAGGCTGTAGGTATTTGATCTCTTGATCTGACACTTTTTGTTATAAAAGATCAAGTAAATGTCCCATAGTTATCTATCCCTAATATGCCAGCACTGCTACAGAATAATTAACTAGAAGTTAAATTATAGCAAAGCATTTATTTTAACCTTATTGTTAAGAAACACAGATGAAAAATAACTTGGGAATAAATCTCAACATAGGAGTTTTTAACATTGAAAATCTTTCTTGCAAATACACAGCAACAATCCATAAAATTAATTTTGTAGGCTATATTAGGAAAAGAAGATCTGATGGATGATAATGCAGTTGCCATTGGCTCTATGACAGCACAATTAATTCAGAATGTACTTCTGGAGAAGGGTCACTATGTGATGAACTTTGGTAAAATGTGTTTATGATAAAACAACATAATTCAAAATTGCTGAATGAACATGCATACAACAACATAATTTAATAAACACTAGAGAGGTAGAAATGTTCATGTCTGATTTACTGAACAAATCAGTTTGCTGTCCTTCAGTTCACCTATTTATTGAGCTCATGGCAAGGATGGATGACATGTATTATCTAACACTAGGCAGTTCAACAAGGAGCATCACACTGCTGCTGTTCAGTGGCAGGCTGTTTGTGGGACATTAATGCATGGGTCCCGTGCCGGGGCTATGTCACACAGCTACCAGGAGGGCTATGCTGCATGGTCAGAATGACTGTCTATGGGATTTATGATCAACAGAGGAAGGCAGTAGGACAGCTGTGGTGGCATGGTGATCTGCTGCTGCTGAACACTGCAGAGCTCCCCCCTCTGAGGCCTCCTTCTCCTTCCTTTCCCTTCCACTCTCCACCAGTTGCAGGAACAATTCAGCTGTTTATACAATATCACTGAATTGCTGCAATTTGCAACTTGGTACCAGCTTACGTTTCCTTGCAATGTTGTATACCTTAACTGCAGGGTCTGCCCCAGGCTGGAAGAAATATGTCCAGAATATCATAGAATGGTTTGGGTTGGAAAGGACTTTAAAGAGCATTTAGTTTCACCCCCCCTGCCATGGGCAGGGACACCCTCCACTAGACCAGGTTGCCCAAAGCCCCATCCAACCTGGCCTTGAACACTTCCAGGGATGGGGCATCCACAGCTTCTCTGGCCAGCCTGTTCCAGTGTCTCACCACCCTCATCATAAAAATCTCCTGCAGTGGGCGGATCTTCATTGCCAACCATATCCTGGGGTGCATCAAGCATGGCATTGCTAGCCAGTCTAGGGAAGTGATTGTCCCACTCTACACTGCACTGGTATGGCCTCACCTCGAGTACTGCGTGCAGTTTTGGGCGCCGCAGTACAAAAAGGACATAAAACTATTGGAGAGTGTCCAAAGGAGGACAACGAAGATGGTGAAGGGTCTAGAGGGGAAGACGTATGAGGAGAGGCTGAAGTCCCTTGGTTTGTTCAGCCTAAAGAAGAGGAGACTGAGGGGAGACCTCATCACAGCCTACGACTTCCTCACGAGGGGGAGCAAAGGGGCAGGCGCTGCTCAGCTTCCTCTGGTGACCAGTGATAGAACCCGAGGGAACGGAATGAAGCTATGACAGGGGAGTTTTAGGTTGGATATCAAGAAAAGGCTCTTCACAGAGAGGGTGGTCGGGTACTGGAACAGACTCCCCAGGGAAGTGGTAACAGCACCGAGCTTGACTGAGTTCAAGAAGCATCTGGATAACGCTCTCAGTCATATGCTCTGATTTGGCTGGGCCTGTGTGGAGCCAGGAGTTGGACTCGATCATCCTTATGGGTCTCTTCCAACTCAGGACATTCTATGATTCATTATCCCCCCTTCTGTGTGTGCCGGTGGGGGAGTTTTTGGCTGTGTGGCCATGGTTCCACTGCAGACTACGCTTGGAACCAGCTATCTAACTCCTTCTCAGCCTCCCTGACATTACATTGCCTTCTCACTGCCTCCTGCAGCTCAGCCACTGCTGCATGAGGTCCTCCTCCACCTGGGCACACCTTTTGCAGGCAGGTCTGCCGCTTGTCCCTGCCCTGGGAGAAAGGTCCAGGCACGTCCTGCAGCCTAGCACGTCCTGCAGCCTGAGGTCTGCGCTGCAGCCTCTGCCTTCAGCAGCTCCATCCTGGTGGAGGCATCAGCCACTGCTGGGGTAGGTGGTGCAGACCCCCCAGCCATAGCTGCAGCCTTTGCTCTCGGACAAGTGCCCACTGTTCTGCCATTCTGCCCTTCCCTCATGTCAAAGAACTGGATTAACATGAGCTCTGCATCAAACCTCTATTTTGTGGGATGGGGAGAATCAAGAGAGTGGCGATTCACGACATACTCAAGTGCAATTGCTTTTAAAATTAAAATCCAGCTCAGGGACTTTTAAATACTCCTTGTCACAGGGTTCATTATTGAGTCTGTTTCATTTAACTTAAACAGCTTGAGTTGTCGAGAGCGGCTGCAGCAGACATGGTAAGTAATATTTTACTGGTTATTGGACCAAGAAATAATTTGTAATTTATAATACACAAACACTTGGATTGAAAAAGCCATTCTTCTGGTGCAATGGGCCATTAATACTATTTGTTTTTAAGACATGGAGCTGTGATTTCAATTCATGACAAACTCACACAAAACAAATTACTGGAAAGTGTCAGCAAAAAATCAGATTGCATTTTAACTATCCATATGGCACAAATATTCATTTTAAATTATGAACTCCCACCTATCGTTGTTCAGCTCTGGCTGTTTTGGAATAAACTTAAAGTTAGCACTGAAAGCTCAGTCAGACAGTAGTGAGAAACCAAGTCTTCCTGTTCTCACACACAGACTACAGACTTATTGCACTCTTGATGTCACAGTACACTAATCAATATTTACTATGCTTGAAAAAACTGCTTCTTTTTCTCTCTTAACATCTTTTTTGTTTCTATCTTATAGCTTTCAGTCTTTTCATTTTATCAGATGAGGGTTTAAAGTGCTCTGACAATGAGAAGCCTGATTCTGTACGGTCCTGACTGCCATTCTGCTCCCTGTACAAAAATTTGAACCCAAAAGACAGACAGGAAACTGGCCCTGCAGACAGTAATTGTAGTTTTTAATCTGGATTTTGCCATTCAGTTCCCATGGCATTTAAAAGTACTTCTCCCAAGAATCTCATCAATAAGAGTCTAATTATTTCACTAGTGAAATTACTTAAAATAATATTTATTAATGAAAATAGCTGACTTATTTGACCTTTATTATTTTGAAAAGACATTCACAAGCTTGAACTCTTACTGCAGACATCCCCTTCATGCAACTTTACAAAGCCCTACTTGTATATCATGAAATTTTATGCACTTTTCTCTGAAATAGCAGATATTTGGTACACTGGACTACAGACTGGATCCTACGTGGCATTTTTAAAAACTGTCATGCAAGGGCTAGTCAAAAAAGGATTTGCCTCTGCCATTCCATTTTGTGAAGTCAGAGTCAGTTGTAGTTTTATTTTATTGTATGCTGTAGATCTGAGTCATCACCTAATTCATTTTTACAGGCAGACTTTCCCCACTCAATCCACTTAGAAGCATATAAAGACATTCCTGAGAAGATTGTATTACCAGCACATCACTGCCACTGTTTACTGCTGAGAGTTTACTCATTCTCTGTCTACTTCAGATCAAACTTCAGCAGCACTTGTGTGTCTCGTTAGCTTTCTGCTCATTCACTGAAAATGGTTAAATTCACGCAGCAAGATGATGCCTGCATCAGTTTTTCCCCACCTGTTGCTTTCTCAAGCCTTGCTAGAATCCCTGCTGTGAGGGGAAAAAAAAAAAAAAAGGTAGCCGTCTGTAAAAGAAAGCAAACATTTTAGTATGCTTTGTCCTCACAAGAACACTGGAAAGGGGAACATATTAAGAGAATAACTGCAATAGCTGCCCTTACCAGCTATAGCCATCAGCTGGGTGAAAACTGCTATTTGAAAGAAGACATTTTTTTTCCTTTTCCTTCAGCTTAAACAAGACTTTCAGTATGTGAATTTTTGCTATCATTCTGCCTTCCCCAGATAAGCTCCTTAATCTGTAATGATACTACTGCCTTGTGTGATTCAGTTCTGAAATGGAAATACATCAGTATGGCACAATCAACTGATTTGCTCTTTTGATATGTTCACTGTGTCACTATCTTGTTTGAATGACATGCAAACACCCAAATAACAAAAAAATGCTTGTGTCTGTTTCTCCCCATTTCTGTTAGTGCTACAAAAGCAAAGATTTGAAACACCACACTGTGCTTCATTATCTCTTAGCTCATGCATCCACCCTTCTGTTTGCTTCGCAAAGAAAATACAAAATGGAAAGATTTGTACATAATCACTGGCAATAAAGAAAGACTGCATGGTACATGTTATCCAGCCATCCTTTAGAATCACTACACAGTAAATGCAAGTCAAACCTTGCCACTGTAATCAACGTCTCCTCCAGTGTCAAAAATAATTGTTTAACGTCAGTAAGAGATGCTCCTTTAAACACGCATTGTCAGGATTTGTCTATAGCCGTAGTCTGATTTGTTACATTGGCTTTATCTATAAAAAACAGC